GTGTGAATGTTGCAGCATGTACGTCGTGAGTCTTTGCATGTGAGCACTACCATCATGTCCCATATCAGTGGCAATGCTTTCTATAAGTTCATACATTTTTCAGGTAACTGTGCTGCACAGCTCATCACCAAAAACATGCAGACACAAAATACAGTACAAACCCTTGGCACATATGCATGACAAGTGTTCCTACAGTCAGCATCTGCAATAACCAAGATGTAACATCTCTTGGAATGCATGCACGAAAAATGTCCTCAGAGTAAGCACAAAAAAACAGTGACACTATTCAGCTGATTACTAAACATCATCAAACTAGTGTAGTTTTCACAAGAATACAGCAATGTAAACCTGGTCTCACCTCAGTACATGTCAGTCAATATGATCACCAAGTTTCCTTCACACATATGTTACAATGCCGTACTTTCACAGTATTACACATGACATAAACTTACATATATATTTCTTGGCCTGTGCCAATGTCCTATCAGGACACCATGATCTGATAAGCAATAATCTTCTAAACACATCAAGAGAGTTATGATAACCATCAGGAACAACTTCCTCCTCTGGTGATTCTTTGTCAAACCAGTGTTTCCAGGCTTTCTCATTACGTCCAATCTGATTCAAGACATCACTGAACTGTTTAAGTTTACTAAGTTCAACCAAATTCAACCATGTCAGGTCCAGAATCCATTTAGCTGGTTTCTGGGGACAGGCTTTGAGATCCAGAGAGGCACCACCTAAGAAAAGCAAGAATGAAAACTCAAATATATAAAAATTTCCTGATTTCAATTTTTGAAATAGCACATACCCCGTACTCATTATTTGAACTGTAATGAATCACCCACTGGACCATATTGGTTGAAGAAAATGGTCTATTGCAAGACAATGTATGAAGCAAAGCTGAACACATCATGTCCAGGCCCTTCTTTGAAGATATTGCTACGATATTGTTATATATCACTACCATCAGGTTTAAACAAATTTGGGGGATGCTTGTTTGCTTAAATGAAGGACTCTTATTTGAGAACTTTCCAATAATTACCTCATTATGACACAATAACTGGCAGTGTATGATTCCCTAAGAAGTTATGTACATTTGGAAAATTATGTAGAATATATGGCATATAAAGAATCTGGTGTAAAAACGACATATGGTGACTCACCTTTAATAAGTGTCAGGAACTCTTCATGCTTAATACGCCCACAATGGAGATCAATCTTTAGTGCCAATAACAATGTGTAAGTTAACTTGTCTTTTTCATACAGCCCTCTGCTGGCATATTTGAATACAGCCCATGTCATGAATTCTATGATGTTAAAAATGCGTTTACTTGTGATAGGACTCTTGGTAGAACTGAAACAAATAAATAATTAATTAGAATTATGATTAGAAAGCAATACCATGTGTTTGGCTAATTTTCATACTTATGATGATAGACACTATGTCTAAAAAATGAATCTGGACACCAAGTAGTACTCTTAGATAAAATATTATTAAGAGGTTAAAAACTGATGTTTTCAAGGGGAAAAAAAACAATATTTGAAAGTTTTGTTATTTGCCTAATTTTTGGCAGTCGACTTCTCTTGATTAAATTGCATCTTCATTCTACACCGATTTTACTGAAAAATGATATAATAATGGTTTCTGGAAACATCTTTAAGTTAGTAGTTGAATATTTTCCAAGAAAGCAGTTATGATGCATATACTCACTTTGACATAGAAAGATCAAAGACACCAAGGAATTGTTTGAGTGACGTTTGATACATACAATTCACCAGACTCATCTCTACGATCAGAAAGTAAAGAATACTGCCTCGTGTGGCGACTGGACGAAATTCTTCTCTTGCTGCGTTAATCTTGATTTCAGTTTCTGCAGCTGTCTGTAGTTTCTGACTCACATCTTCTGCTGTGGATTTAGTTGTACCAAGTACAATGATCAGAGATTCATCATCCACAAGAGAACCCTGCAACAGACAAGTTGATTAAAATTAGGAATGACAACTGGTTGTCATGGACACTGATCATTCATACAGGCTGTACTTTCATTTATGTGTCATAGTTGTACTACTAACCCTTCAAAACCTAGTAAAACTCATTGTGCTCAATTTCCAATTGAATCTAAAGCATATTGAAGTATCTCTGTGCCAAATACGCTGATTATTTTATGCAACTCTACTTGATGTGAAAATTAGAATACAAATTAATCATTTATCGAACATCTGACGAAGCTGTGTGTCAAAATGTTTGTTTTTTCAACAGATATCATACGAATTGTAACATACCTGTGTATTGGTGAGTCTATACAGAAGGTTATCTTCTAATTCTTTCATCTTTCTTTTATTGGCTGTCACATCTTCTATCAACTTGGTTCGTTCTGACTCCAATTCCTATATGAACAAAACAATGAAAATGTCATCACTTTGTTGCAAATACGATTGTGAATATTCACAATTGTTTGTTCACAACTATGAAAATTATTCTCATCGACATAGAATAAATATATTCATACTAATGTTAACTAAGTTAAAATAATTCATATTAAAGTTGACCAAGGTAATAATGTTTATCAACTAAATACTTACACTCTTTTCTGTTAGATGACTCTACCAAGTAACTGATCTTCCAAGCCTTTCATAGTCACAGTGAAGTCAATAATTGAAGATCTGGCGCTGATTTCTGGAGTATATCTTGGATTAGCAAGTTTAGTTGTAATATATAAACAGAAACCATCCATGACATCACATTCCTTGTCACCTACCAACACCTATAATACAATATTTATTTGTAATCCAATGAAATGAAAATAATTATGGAAGCGCAAATACTGCCATTGAATGTCACATTCAGAGCATGACAATCTTTTCTGATTTGGGGTTACAGAAACTGTGAATTTAAATATTTAAGATGGATGCAAATTGGGAACAAGAAAACAAGCAAGTTTGAACCTAGCCTGACAAGTTGGCGTAGGTGGCGCCCTGGACTGCTGCGATCCCCACCAACAAGTTGGCGTAGGTGGCGCCCTGGACTGCTGCGATCCCCACCAACAAGTTGGCGTAGGTGGCGCCCTGGACTGCTGCGATCCCCACCAACAAGTTGGCGTAGGTGGCGCCCTGGACTGCTGCGATCCCCACCAACAAGTTGGCGTAGGTGGCGCCCTGGACTGCTGCGATCCCCACCAACAAGTTGGCGTAGGTGGCGCCCTGGACTGCTGCGATCCCCACCAACAAGTTGGCGTAGGTGGCGCCCTGGACTGCTGCGATCCCCACCAACAAGTTGGCGTAGGTGGCGCCCTGGACTGCTGCGATCCCCACCAACAAGTTG